GACGCAATTTTAATCGCTCATGCTCTCTAAGTAGTATGATTTTTCAAGAGTAACAGATCATTGTCGACACAATCTCGCAAGCGCATACGTCCGCATATGTTCGGGCCAACTGTTTTACAGTCTCACACCATCAGGCTCCACTCTAAGGCTCAGAAATAGTTCCACACAGCTCTCAACAACGCTGTGAGCTGTAGCAACCGCCCCAGCAATATCTCCTTGCAGTGCGCAGTTTTTTAACATTTTTCAGAACTAGTACCAGGAGCATCTGATGGCAACAGTCACTGACAAATACCATACCTCAAACGAAGGCTTTCGGGGTATATTTGCAAAAACGATGGCTTCGATGAAGTTTAATGCGGCTGCCAACGTGGCGCCCTGCAGCAGTGAACTTTGCAGTAACAACACACATGCCTCAAGCAGACGTGGCAGAGGTTTATCAATCAAAGATGGATGTAGAGCCGTTATTTCTGAAAAAAAGTTCGTTTGCAAAACTCTGATCGTTGCAGGCTTCACAGCTTCTGCAATCATTATTACCCACCTACTTCTCGTCCACATATGCCGCTGCTGTCTGCTTCCGCTGACAGTCCTCTCTCAGAATAGTACTGTTCTGGCCGGGCATAATGGCCACTGTGATTCGGTAAGAATGGAAGACAACAGATGGACAAAATCGATTATCCAACGGCAATCACGCTACGTTACACAACTGGACATTGATATGCCAAGCTCAGACAAAACGTAGAAATTGTTGCACTGGTGATAAAATGTCAGTTTTGCTGTTAGCTATCAAACTTGTCCCGCTTGAGGCCTAGGAACTTTTTATCACTTATCGAGTGAATCACTCACTCATCCCAGTGCAGCTGAAAAATAATATGCATTTCCAATAAATATGCATACACGCACTTGAAGGACCGCGACGGTGGAACATAAGCTCTTTGTATCGAGGCTTCATTAACGATATTCAGAGCATGAAATTTCGAATTTAGCCATAGCGTCAAATTGTGTTATGGTTTTATGCGTTTACTTCAGATCACCACATTCATGTTAATCATAAGATCAAGCCGTTTACAGGTTAAAAAACAGTGCTGTGTAATTCGAATACTACCACATGAGAAGACTATCGAAGAAATCGCCAACTGCGAATGAATGAAACCGCCAAGCTAGCCAGTCCGCATTTGCCACGTAGGAACTGCTTTTCCCAGCTACAGCAAAACACAATGCGAATGAACACCCAAAACGTGCTGCTGCATTCTGTAGAATTTTGATGAACCTCC